ATGCTGCGGCGCCCGGGGAGCAGTTGGGGGTTCGGTGCCTTGCTCAAGGGTCTCACCTAGGTGTTTCACCTCAGTCGTGGTATTGAAGGTGGAGAGAGCGCTGGTTATTCACTCCCCCCACCGACAATTCCTGCCGGACCTGAGACTCAAACCCACGACCTTCGGGTTACAAGTCCGACTATCTAACCAATAGGCCACGACTGCCCCAAAAAGCATCATAAGCAGAACTCCCTTTTTTGGGCCTATTAACAAACACACAAGTATCCTCACATGAACCCATTCCTCCTTATGACAATCTAAAAATACTCACAGGAAGAGATACTCACTGACACACACACACACACACACACACACACATAAACATGCACCTGCAGCTCTGTAGAGGACACTGAAAAATCTGTCAAAACAGACACAAACACATTAACAATAATGCAAATGATTGATTTAAACACAAATATTATTAGAACTGAGATGGTCCAAAAATGTTGACAGACCTACACAGCTGAGTGTAACGAGCTTCTTGCGCATGCAGTCAGTGTTGTTCAAGGAGAAAGGACAGTCCCACAGGTGAATCTCATTCCCTCTGCACTCAACTTTGTTCATCCACACAACACCTCCACCAGCACCAAAGACTGAATTCCCATCAGCCCTCAGTGCTGCTCCACAACCCAGCTGCCTGCAGACCACCTGAGCATCGCTGATGTCCCACTGATCATCACAGACTGAGCCCCACACAGCGTTATGATACACCTCCAGCCTCCCAGAGCACCGGCCCTCCCCTCCACTCAGTCTGAGAGGAACATGATCTAAAACACACAAGATGGTCCAAAAATGTTGACAGACCTACACAGCTGAGTGTAACGAGCTTCTTGCGCATGCAGTCAGTGTTGTTCAAGGAGAGAGGACAGTCCCACAGGTGAATCTCATTCCCTCTGCACTCGACTCTGTTCAGCCACACAACACCTTCACCAGCACCAAAGACTGAATTCCCATCAGCCCTCAGTGCTGCTCCACAACCCAGCTGCCTGCAGACCACCTGAGCATCGCTGATGTCCCACTGATCATCACAGACTGAGCCCCACACAGCGTTATGATACACCTCCAGCCTCCCAGAGCACCGGCCCTCCTCTCCAATCAGTCTGAGAGGAACATGATCTAAAACACACATTAGAACAACATTTACAACAAAACACACACTGAAACTGAAGACAGAGTTGGTTAAATATATAAAATATTTTAAACTGATTTTAAATGCAAATAATCCAGTGCACAGCTAATAATATAATAAGGCAAATACAGGCTTGAACAAAGAAACATTAACTAATGTATTATCAGGAAACTTACTTGAACACTGTCTCTGGTGAGGTGATGCTGAACATGTCAGACGACTCCGAGGAGACTCTTCACTCTCCTCCGCTGAAATTAAACATTAATAAACAATCACAAATACTCTTCCCACCTGCTCTGTTTAGTTTTGCAGAAAATTTAGTTTACTTAACACACAATTATGGCATATAAAGAAAATGACTACTGAGACCATATTAAATCATTTAAATATCATCTTACCTGAGCAGGTGATTTCGGCCACTTCATCTTCACCACAGTTATTCTGTCCCCAGGGTAAAGATGGACACTGCCACAGATTTGAATCATGTGGTCGACATGTAACTTTATCCAGCCAGTTAGGAGCTGATTTCACTCTTGTTGTAGAATCAGACAAAACACCTGATTTTCCACAGTTCAGCTCTTGACAGATCAGACTCACTGTGTCTCTGTCCATCTGGTTCCAGCACACATTACCCCAGGATCCATTGTAGAAAACCTCCACATTCCCTTCACAGCCTTCAGTTAACCTGATCTCTTTAAACTCTAGATGAAAATGGAAAAATGCCATTAAAAAACTAAATTTAAAAAAATGGGCATTATGGGCAAATTAATATACTATGAATATGTTATTTTAATTTTAATAGAAAAAATACAGCAGCATGTTTACCTGAGCACACGACTCCCACATCCTCCTTGTGCTGACAGTCGTGTTTTCCCCAGCCTGGAGAAGAGCAGCTCCACAGGGACGTCTCATTCCCCTCACACTCCACCTCATCCAGCCATATGGGTCCAGAACCAGGACCAAACCAGGCTGGTACCTGCTGGTTACTGAGGGCCACTCCACACTGCAGCTGTCTGCACACCACATGAGCATCTTTAATATCCCAGGAGTCATCACACACTGTCCCCCATGAGCCGCTGTGAAAAACCTCCAGCCTCCCTGCACAGTCTCCCCCAGAACCCACCAGCCTGATGGACCCGCGACCTGATATTCAGAGACAGAAAAACAGTGATTGTACATGCACATTTTTGATCACTAATAACTAAAGAATCTACCCAGATGTTGATTTTCTCACCAAAGTTCTTTACTGACAGCTGTTGTGTGGAGCTGCACTTGAGAGTTTGTGAAGAGCTGCAGTTCCCCAGATGAGCTTTACTGCCTGGAGAGAGTATTTATTTGTCATTTAATATTTATCTAAAATATACTAAATATACTTTTTAAATATTTGTTCAAATGTGTAGTTTTATTCTGAAACCCATGACTTCAGTGTGGTGTGAATGTGCTCACCAGAGCAGGGACGCTTTTATCCAAAGCGACTTACAAATGATGAATATAAGTGATTTATCATAAAGAGGTAAATAAACACAAGAAGTGCTATTATTATTAGTGCTATTATTAATAATAATACCTTATCTGAATTATGTCCTAAATGGTTTATTTAATTAAAACTGTGCTAAGATAACTTGCTACATGAATGCTTTTAATTAATTTAACATACATACATGCTTCTGTATGTAACAGGTAACATTATGATATTTCAGTCTCTAACCTGAAACAAGCTCATCAGCATATTTATACCCAGAATGCTGTTCTTCAGAAAAGATACTTCCTGTTATAGAGAAGTAGAACCATCAGACACATTCACAATCACAAATTAGCCAAAATCCCCATTTCTTTTGGATCTTATAAAATTAACCCTATATAATTTCAAACGATACACACAAGATCCCACAAATGAATCTATGCAATTTACTCCACTTACTGAAATTATTACATTTTTTATCTCAACACATTAAATGCTTACTCACCCCTCTGAGCGAAGAGACTGTGTCTATTAGTGGGTCTGTGCTGAATCTCCTCATAAACGGCTTCAGTCGTCATCCGGTGTCTCCTCTTAGAGAGAGCTGTGAGTGTAGACAGACAAACCTG